TGTGAGATCCCCTGAGTGTAGACCAGTGTTTCACAACTGTGGGAACTTTAATACTTGTGGACTTAACCCCCCAGAATCCCCCAGCCAGCAGGCCTGGCTCAGGAATTCTGGGAGTTGAAGTCCACACGTCTTAAAGTTCCCAAGGTTGAGTAGCACTGGGGTAGAGGCTGCGTGTTCATTCACTGTCAGCAAACTACCATCTCCCCAGTGAATTTAGCCAGTTCCCTTCCTGCAAGGCAACAGCCCTGGCCAGATCTTGTGGGAGTCAGAAGTTTGCAAGCTCTGAATGCGTTGCTTAAAAATGCGTCTTCCTTCCTGCTCCACCCAGGATGACCGCTGTCGTTTGGTTGACTCTTCTCCTGGCAGTGGTGTCGGCGGTGGACCGAAGCAACTTCAAGACCTGCGACCAGAGTTCCTTTTGCAAGTAAGTCATGGGAAGGGAGAAGGGACGGAGAAACGCTGGCAGTCCCTTGTTCCCAAAGGAAGCAGTGATGAGATGACGTCGTCATCATCTTCCCTTGCATGGCACCCAGGCTGGGGAATGAGACACTGGAAGACATGGCATGGCTGGTCTGTCTCCAGTAACTGTGGTTTCTCCTCTCCAGGCGTCAGAGGAACATAAAGCCTGGAAGCTCCCCTTATAGGGCTCTGCTGGAATCTCTGCAGCTCAGCCAAGATGCCATGAAAATCCAGCTTATTAATGAAGCCAACAAGGTAAATTAACCCCCTTGGACTTCCTGGAGGGTCGGAAACAAGTCGTGCCCGCTCTCTTTCGGACCGTCTGAAAGGTTTGAGGGTTAGGAATGGGCCTCGGGGTGAGAAAATTGAGAACTCCCCCCACGGCTAGCGAGATGAGTCGGGCCACAGCCTCGGCTCGGGGTGGCGTTTGCTGGAGGTAAAACGCTGATGGGCTCCGTTCTTTCCGATGCCAGGTTCCTCTCCTCCTCGAGTTTTATGGCTTGAAAGGGAACATGACTCGCCTCCGGATCAATGAGTTGACTCCCCTCAAGGCCCGCTATGAGGTACCCGACGTCTTAGTCCAGGATCCCCCCACCACCAGGTACGGAGATGGAATGGTGCGTGTGTCCCAACATGGCAGGTGGTCTTGGGGTGGGTTGTGTGGGAGAGGGTGCGTTAGGAGGCAGCCTGCCTTTAGGGCTTCCCCAGGGACAGGGGTTCAGGGATAGAAAACTAAAAGATTGGGTGTCACACCGTACGGGTCTTGGTGGGGATGGAAATGGTCTTCCAGCCAGATTGGGGTTCCACCTTCCTCTCTGGGATCAGCCCCTTCACATCCCACTCGTTCTGCAATGGACAAGGAAAGCTGTTAGAGGGGCCTTCATTAAAGGGGATAAAGGAGAAGATTTCTGTCTGGGTTAGATTTCTGTCCCATCTTTCCATCAGGGGCTTACGCTGGGCTGCACCGCATGTCCTCTTCTCTGTTTTCCCCAGAACAACAACCCTGTGAGGGAGGATAGGTTGCAAGGGAACGCCTGGCCCACGGTCAGCCTGGAGGCTTCATGGTTTGGAGGGACTAAGACCTGGGTCTTCCCAGTGCCAGACCTTCCCTACTACACCAGACTGGCTGTTGGGCTGAGAGGGAGGAACTGGCCCAAAGTCATCCAGGGAGCTTCTGTAGTTCAGGTGGGACTCGAACCTGGGTCTCTCCGCTCCTAGTCTAGGATCTTCCCCATGGAGCCACCCTGTATCTTGGGCTGAGAGGGAAGGACTGGCCCAGATTCACCTAGAGACCCTCGTGGCATGGAGGGATTGGACCCTGGATCTCCCAGCACCAGGCCAGCTCCTTAACCGCCGCACCACCCTGGCATTCCTGTGGGGTCATTAAGGCTGGGATTCCGCAGCACGTTTAACCAGCTCCGTTAAAGACCTAGCAGCTGCTAAGGTTACTGTTAACCAGGTTTTTGGTTTTTTTTACAAGGTAACTACTATGCAAGCCAGTCTGCTTGGGTCATTGTGGCTCAGTGCATTGGGCGAAACTAGAATCTGAGTTAATTCAGTAACCTCAAGCTTGTGAATCTAGCTCAGTGTTTTTCAAACTCGGCAACTTTAGGATGCGTGGACTGCAACTCCCAGAATTCCCCAGCCAGCACGCTGGCTGGGGAATTC